TTCATCTTCAATATCTGCTATTGCTAACTTCACTAGCCTATCATTAGCATTTATAATCCGACTCTAATCCAAGAGAGGCCAGCTGCATAGTAATATAACTTTAAATTAGGTACTGCAAGGCATCCATTTTGTCCTGAAGGATTTTAAATCTAATGCTTAACTTTTTGCCATTCCAAATAAAAGCATTTAATTGTCTTTGTCACTCTTGGAGAATTTTTCCCAGGATAGAACTTGGTATCACCTGATACCAATTTCATGCTATTCTTCTCCATCTGCTTTTAATCCTTTAATTTTTGAGTCTTGTCTTATAGTTTTTGCTAAAATTTCCTGTATAAGAATAAATAAAAGAGGTGATAAAGGGCATCCTTGGCATGTTCCCTTCTCCATTTGAAAACTGACAGTTAATATGCCTTTAAGATCTTAGTATGTTGGTTAGTATAAATTGTTTGAATCCAAGTCATAAATCTTGAACCACGGTCTAAGTATTGAAGAGTTTTCATTAAGAAGGGTCAAGACACATTATCAAAAGCTTTCTCCGCATCTGAAAAATAAATGCAGCTTTCTTCTTCTTCTTGATCAATTCAGTTGCATCAATCAGAAAACAAATCTTATCTTTCATAAATCGTTTTGGAACAAATCCAGTCTGGTCTATATGAATCTGTTTTTCTATACATTTTCTTAATCTCTCCACCATTAAAAAGTTTGTAATCCACATTAAATAATGAAATAGGTCATTAAGAATGTGGTAAAGTGGGATCATTGATACATATAGAAGGCAATGTTATATGGGCTTACTGCTATGTCTTCTTTAGTTTCATTCATTACTTGTTGGAGAGGTAGTATTAATTTTTCCTCTTATAATACATAGGAGTGAATCCATATGTTGATAGTTCTTGAATAGTAATAGTATCATTCAGTATTTTTCTCTGCTCAGGGGTGATTTTTTTCAAGACGTGTGTTCTATATACTGCTCCATTCCATCTTCTGAAGTCAGTATTTTTATATAAATTTGAAAAAAAAAACCTAGAAAACTGATCATGGATTTTCTTTTCAACACATGTTATTTCATTGACTGTTATGAATCTTCTTTCCATTTTTTCCTCTTCCAGGTTTATTTGCATGTTCAAAGTGTCTTTGTTTTAAAAATCTCAACTTCTTTTGTATCTCTTCTGTCTCTATCATGTCTAGTTGATTTCTTAAATGTCTGATAGTTTAGTTAAGACTGATTTGTCTTGTAGATACTGGTGATCTTCCAGTATTTGAATTTGTTTTATTTGGTTCTGATTTCTCTTTTTCTTAGAAATTATTGCTAAAAAATCCTCTAACTTCCTGGCTTCCCATATTGTAGCTATAGAGATGGCACTTGTATTATTTAGACTAAAAAATTCTTCCAATTCTTTTTCTGACTTTTTCAAGGTATCTTCTTGTAGCAAAAGTTTGTCACTGAGTCTCCATCTTCTTTCTCCACTTGTTCTTCTTGCCAAATTATTTCTAATAGTTTGTGGTAAGATTTTAACCCTTGGTAATAGGCTAAAAACATTTATTGAATTTCTTGTGTGCTATACTCTCCTGAACACCCCTCCCACAGGATGGAGGCAAATGAGTCCCCTGGTCTTCCAGGATGATACAGGCAATGAAATCAGTTGGGCATGGCTCAAGTGACATTGGCAGAATACACAGAATGAATCCTCTTAAACACAGGCTAGAGCTGAAAGGCTACTACATTGCAATGAGGGTGACAAAGAAATTGGCCTAGTTCACCACCATTGCATTTGCTGTCACTTAGCAAAACCCTTTTATGTGGTCAGGCCTGGCCCACAAGAAGAGCAGGTGCCTTTGTCACCAATCTACAAATTACTTTGCAGGTAAAATACATTACATATCTGTGCATAGTTGGATATCTCAGCTGATACAGCTCCAAAGGATTGCACTCTGGCTCCTGTTTGTCCACTTACAATGGATACTTTCAGTTTGTACGGCCTGAGAATGTAGACAAGTTCCTTAAAGAAATGAGGCCTACCACTTATATGTGCAGCCAGCTAGTGGGAAAAGATAGTGGTGAATTCCTCTTTGACAAAGCATGATTCTAAAAGGCCTAAATAAGGTGAAGGTGAGACCTTTGTTTTAAAACAAAACAAAACCTCCCAGAAATATTTTTCTCTGGGAATATAATTTTTCTTTAAGTTGAATGTCAGATTGCAGCTCTGTGCAGTCCAATTGAAATTGGGTAACATATTTCTGTCAACTGAAAATGGAGTCAAATATACCAAAATAGTGATTATTTTCCTGAAAATCTTGAAATCTCTTTTTAAAATTCTAGTAACAAATCAAAAAGCAAGGCTGCTTGTTTTTCACTGTTCACAGGACTGTGTTTAGTGAACATGTCAAAATGTACAAAATTGTTTGCAACAGTAGGTTGAAATATTATTGAAAATAGCTGTGTTTCACGTGCCACGTCACCATGAGCACATGTACGTAATGTCTGATGGTGTCAATTTGACTGTCTGTGCTTGGACACTGCACTTTCTACACTCTGGAAGCTGTGCACCACTGTAAAACTGAAGCTGCACATGTGTACAAATAGTGAGAGCATAGTTATGTTTATTTTACATGACATTGCGACACAGTGTTGGCATCTGCAAAGTTTATGCTTGAGAACTGCGCAACTGAGTTACAAAAAATGCAAAAAATCTCATAATGTTTTAAGTAAATTTACATTTTGTGTTGGGCTGCATTCATAGCCATCCTGGACCACATGCGACCTGCAGGCTGGACACCCCTGATCTATAGTGTTGGCATTTGGTGCCACCAGTATGCTGATGATGCTCTACTTTATCTTTCTTCTCCATCTGAATCCAAGGAAGTTGTCCTGATTGTAAATCAGTATCTGATGTTGGTAATGGACTGAATGAGGAAAAAGAAATTGAATTTTAATTCAGATGAGGCAGAGGTGCTTTTGGTCAATCAAAAGAAAGACTAGGGCATATGAATTCAACCTATGCTGGATAGGGTTACACTCTCACTGAAGAGCCAGCCTTGTATTTTGAGTGTTCCCTTGGACTCAATCTTGAAGCTGGATGTCCAAGTGGCCAGGAGTGCATATACACTGCTTAGGCTAATGTGCAAACATCCATACATATGCTTTAGCTACATCCCATCTATTCTATTATAATGTGCCATATATGGGTCTGCCTTTAAAGAATGTTCAGAAATGTCAGCTGGTCAAGAATGCTAAAGACAGACTGTTGACCAGACCCACTTACATAAAGCATGTGATTTCCTTGTTACAGCAACTTCTCAGACTACCAATGTGTTTTTGGGCAGAATGAAAAATCCTAGTTATGGTGTATAGCATCCTATATGGCTTGGGACCAGGCTATCCAAAAGGTTGCCTTCTCCTATGTGACTGGTGAGGCTGTTCTGGTGAAGCTTTTCTGGAGAGGCTGTTCTTTTGAGATCATCAATTTTGGAGGCACATTTGGAGGTCAATGGAGAGAAGAACTGTTTGATGGCTACTCCCAGGCTGTGACTCTTCCTTCCAAGCATACAAGGTTCTCCTCTCTCAACAACCCTGGGAAGTAGGTCAGTGAAGATCTCTATTCCATGAACTTCATGGCTGAGTGGAACCTAGAACACAGATCTTTGGAGTTCCAGTCCAACACTCTACCCTTTATGCCACACTGGCTTTCACACTAATTAGTAGTTAAAAATGTAGCAAGGATAAAGTGTGGAGGCAAGTGTGTGGCTCTGCTCTCATATATTGATGGAAATAAGTTCCATATAACACACCTTTCATGATGATGGGATTAGGACTGCTGCACTTGTACTTGGGCAAGAGCCCCCAAGCATGTATGAGACAGCATGTTCAAGAGAGCAGCTACCTCTGGCTCTGCCTTCCTTTAGCACTCCTAATGTGTCATTGCAAAGGATCCTTCTTTCTGCAAACTAGTGGTTCTATGCCTGCCATGTTTCTGCCACTTTTTTCTTATTGTAGATGGGCCTGTGGAACCCTTCTTATTGCTACATTTTAGTCTGCAATCTCATGCACACTTGAACAGAAGAAAGCCCAATTTAAGTCAGCAGGCCTTACTCATTTTATGTAACCCCACAGGGGATCCAGCATAACAGCCACTTGATTTGATGGCTTTCCGATAAATATCACTTACCCTGGTCACAAGCTTACAGGGTAACATTCATTGTCCTTTTCTTTCCTTTTGCACCCTCTCTTTCCTTAAAATAAGATATGGATAAGAAATCTGGAAGAGGTGGGCCTTGAGAAAGCTCTGAAGTCCAGAGATGCCTATAGAATGAGAAAAGAGGACTGTGAATAAAACTGGGAGGGGCAAGGAAGGTGTTAGCAAAACTTGAGCCTTTTGAAGGGTAGCCTGCTGCAATGGCCTCTTCCCAGGAGCTGAAAACAGTCTGATATCTTGCCGGGGCAAGCGATTAACTTCATTAGCTCCGGCACCCGCGCCAAATTGCTGGATTGATTTCTGGAATGTGGCGCTCTCCTAATGGGGAAGCATCGGCTGTGCCCAAGCAACGCGGCCTCTCGCTGCAGCTGCGGCCTTTCCCACGGTAGGGGATGCTGCATCCTCCTCACTCTTTTCCTCCCTGGACCGAGGAGAAGTCGAGTGGCAAAGGCTATGGGGCCTCCCTGATTGCTTCCGGGCGTCGTCTCCGCAAAGCCTTGAGCTCCTCGCCCGAAAGGCCTCGGTTTTTGTCTGTAGCAAAGCGTGAGGTGCGCCTGGCCGAGGCTGCTCCAATCGCTGGCAGGCAGAGAGGCGGGGACGCGAGCAGAGAGGCGGGGAGGCCTCCGCCCACAGCCAGCCGGCTAGCCAGGCCCTGTTCGGGGGGCTGCAGCCCCTCTCTGGGTGTGTGGCCGCCTCCGCCTCTCTGGGAAGGTTACGTACTGGTGATTCCCCTTTCTCTGGCCCCTTTTCTTCTTTCCTCTCCTTCCCTCTTTATGTCAGCCGAGTCTTCCTCTGTCTGACTCGTCCATGAGTCTTCTCGGGAGCTACCGGAAAAAGACCAACAATGATGGCTATGAATCTTTGCAGCTGGTGGACAGCAACGGTGACTTCTGCGGCAGCCGGGAGCGAACCGGCGGAGGCACTGGGGGCGGCGGAGGTAACAGCAGTAGCACCAGCAGCGGCGGCGGAAAACAAGGGGTGATCCCCGCGGTCGTGGCGGCCGCATCGGCAGCGAGGAGCCCAGGACGACAGCTGCAGCATCAGCCGCTCGATTCCAGCACCATGGACAGCTCAGGTAGCCGGTTTTGAACTTCTGTGTCGATTTCCACCGGACGACCCAGATAATAGGTGCTGGTGCACCGGCCCCACCTTCCTTCTAGGCAGATCTGACAGGTCCAGGCATGCGTGCACCGGGCTGGGGGTGGCGGCGAAGCTGGACGTGATCCAGACGATTCTCGGATTTCTCAGGAAAAGAAACCTTAGAGGGCCCAGCATTGCAAATTCAAAGGGCTGTTAAGTCCAGCTAATGAGGAAACGTCTGTTATTGATGAGGGTAAAAGGGTGCGGAGAGGGGCACAGCTGAACTGCTCAAGAAGCTCAGTGTATTGTTCTCTGTGGTGGTGTGCAAGTGGGCGGAGGAGGGGGAGGGGGAGGGGGAGGAGAGGGAGGGGGAGGAGGAAAGATTGCTTGGACTGGTCTTCCTGAAGTGCTTTCTTATGATGATACACAACTATATTAAGGTAACCTCAGGGAAATACTAGGAAGAAGCATTTTTCAAAAAAAATGTCTGGTTCATGGTCAATTAATGATTCTCATAATGAACATACCTAGGGAGCCTTTTAAAATGAGTACATTATCTCAGTTAAAATCTGTACTGGCAAAATATGGATTGATAAGCTTGTTCTGTAAATTGGCTTGTAAATTTTACAAACAACTATTGTTATGTTGGCTATGATCAAAAGAGTACTCTTGTTAAAAAGTGATGGAATATTGTAACTTCTGCAAAGTTTTTTTTAAAAGTAAAAACATAAGAGTACAAGAAGAACAGATTTTGTTTAAGATGTGGATGGGCAACTTGCATCCTGCATTTTGCAGGTAGGAGGTTGTATCAGATGATCTTTCCAACTGTATGATTCTCATGAACTGCCAAGAGAGCTTCAGCTATGGGTAACATAGAAATGCAAGAAATGTAAGAAATAAATAATACAGCAAAAAGGGAAGGAAGTGGACAAATTTTCTAGCATGCTCCCTGGACTTTTAGATAATACAACCCGTGAAATTAGATTGACATGCTGCATGGATAGGACTTCATAGGATTGGTATTAAGAAGTCATTCATTTCAGGAGGCCTGGTTTAGATTTGCCTTGATTGTGGAGAGTAGTTACTGATAGATTATCTGTTAATGACCTGTACTGAAATTGGTAGATGGGCAAGTATCTGGAAAGGATTGTTTTCCAATGCCACTGACACAAGCAGCATTTGCTAAGAATTTTATCCATGGCTCTGTTTCATTTCTTATGCCAGTTTCTTTTTATGCTATACTCTAAGGAGCATCCATGTATAAGCACTTTCTATAAAGTGATGTGCTGCTGCTACATTTTTAAAAAATCCTCATATGAAGTAGAGAAGTTGCATCCCAAGGCACAACTCTCAAATGAAGAGTCTGATAGTCTACAAGTACTCAGTTGTAGCCTGAGTAATTTTACATGATGTGAATTCTCTGTTGAAACTCAAAAAGTTTATTTGTTTATTTAAGGTATTTGTATACTGTCTGACTACTAGTCAGGACGGTCTTACAATAAAAACAGGATAAAAATGAAGCATAGCATCCAGTAATAAAATCATACATTAAAAACCTAACCAGCTTTTAAAACAATGGGTAAATAAAAAGGTTTTAGCCTGGTGCTGAAAAGAATACAAAGTCCGTGCGAGGTGAACCCCTCTGGGGAGAGCATTCCATAACCAGGGCGCCACCACCAAGAAGGCCCTTCTCCAGGTAGCCACCCTCCTAATCTTCAGGGAGGGCTCCCAAAGAAGGACCTCTGCAGCAGATCTTAAGGGCAAGGTAGGCACGTAGGGAAGGAGATGCTCCTTCAGATATTTAGGGCCTTATAGGTCATTACCAGCATATTAAATAGGTCTTGGACTTCAGTTGGTAGCCAGTGTAGGTGGTAAAGGACTGACATTATGTGTACATACCTGCTGGTCCCTGTTAGTATCCTGATAGCCCTGTTCTGAACCAATTGAAGTATCTGGACTGTCTTCAAGGACAGCACCACATAGAGCACATTACAATAGTCCAGTTGGGAAGTTAGCAGAGCATGGGCCTCCATTGCTAGGCATTGCTCATCCAGGTAGGGTTGCAGTTGGTGAATCAGCTGTAACTGAAGGAAAGTGTGCTTTGCCACTGCCACCACCTGAGACTCCAGGGACAGCTCCAGGTCAAAGACCACTCCCAAAATGCACACCCTGCCCTTTAGGGGGAGTGCAGCCCCATCCAGAACAGGGCTAACATCACTTACCCAAAAGGCTGAACTGCCCAATAGGACCTCCATCTTGTCTGGATTGAGCCTCAATTTGTTGGCCCACATCCAGCCCATCACCCTGGCCAGACACTAATTAAGGACAGCCTCTGCCTCACCTGGATTAGATGAAAAGAGAGGTAGAGCTGGGTGACATCAGTGTACTAGTGACTTTGCAGCCCAAACCCCGGATGACCTCTCCTAGCAGTTCCATGTAGATGTTAAAGAGCATGAGGGGTAAAATGGAACCCTGCAGAACTCCATGGCAAAGCTGCCATGGCACAGAGCCACAATCCCCCAGCACCACCTTCTGGAATCAGCCAGCCAAGTAGGAGTGGAACCACCACAGAGCAGTGCCTCCAACTCCCAACTTGGCCAGCTTATCCAGCGGGATACCATAGTCAATGGTATCAATAGCTGCTGAGAGACCCAGGAGAACCAACAAGGATGCACTCCCCCTGTCCCTCTCCCTGCACAGGTTATCATACAGGGAGAACTGGTTTAGGAGGTTTATACAGTTAAATAGGTCCAGATGGTCAGTTTCTATCAAGAGAGCCTGGAGTTGCCCAGCCACCTTGCCCAAGAATGGGATTATTAGCCACCCGCCAATAATTGGTGGCTATCTTTGGCTCGATGGTCACTCCCTTCAGGATGGGCCTGATCACCGCCTCCTTCAAAGGAGGGGGAGACCAGACCCTACCCCAGAGAGGTGTTGATGACCTCCTGGACCCATGTAAATTTCCCATCTTTGGCTTTGATGAGCAGCCAGGAGGGGCAGGGGTCGAGTAAACAAGTGGTGGGTTGGACTAGTCCAAGCATCTTGTCCACATCCTCAGGCTGCAATAATTGAAATTCATCCAATAAAGATGGACCAGATGGCGCGCCGGACACTTCCCATTCAGGGACCTCATCAACTGTGGAATCCAGCTCATGGTGATCCTTAAAGTGCTGGGCAAAGTCGTCACAGCAAGCCATGGATGCTGCAAACAAATCCTTTTTAGGCCCAGAGTGTAGTCTTTTGCACCACCCAAAAGAGCTCTGTGAGGATGCAGTGCAGGCGGAGAAGAAGTCCTTCTTCGCTGCCCTCACCACCATAGCATAGGCTCAGTAATGAGCTTGAAGGCATGTTCGGTCATCCTTCCAAGTATAAGTTCTTTTGCTGTCCACCCGTTGATTCCCACAGCACAGGGATACAAATGAGAAGTGCATGAACGCCCCTATTTTGTATGAACAATGATTTCCAGCTAAAAAGAAGTTACTACAGGACATGCCCATACCACTTCTGCTATATCTGAGCCCCACCTCTCCTGACAGCTATGTTCCCAGGAACATGCATAATCTCTGACCATTCTTGGATGTACATGGCTTAGCAGTAGAAAGGAACTGAGCCAGTCTCTGTGTCATTTGCTTTCCCAATAGCTTAGTAAACAATTTAAATAAATATGGACGAAGGCAAAAGGCTATGCAGTTTGCTCTTGTCTTCCATGGAAGTCACTCACAGAGGTTTTGCATTTGTAAAGGTAGCATTAAATATATGTCATTTTGGGCTTCTGAGCTCCTCCTAAACCAGTCATCCAAGGAGCATGGCAGAAAGGGGAGGAGTTCCTATGGCCAGATATTCCCCATATGTTAATGTTGCACTCAAAGGCCAAATTCCATTTCGGAGCAGATGGGCTTCTCTACAAGAAGAGTTTATTATGTATTTGTGATTCCTCACTCATGGTGGTTTGTGGGTGACTTACTGATGTCAGTAAATTTTCAGGCCTCTCTCCCACACTCCAAGCATTCCCATGCTTTTTTTTTTATTGTGAGAAAAATGAGCTATTATCTGGCCATCATGCTAAAGCAAACCTGTGCATTTTTCCATTGCACTATGCCACATTGCCACCTTGTGGATGTGTAATGGAGCACTTACGAAAGAAAAAAAGGGAAAAATGTGTAGAAGAGCTAAACTTAATCCTGCAAAGATGTTGAAAGCCAAACCTTTGCGAAGTAGCAGGTTAAAAACCTCTACAGAGAAGCCTGCCCTTGAGGTTGCATTTCAGTGATAGGTAGGGCTGAAGGCCAATGGGTTAGGATCAAAGACAAAAAGGTAAGGCCAAAAATCCCAGCATTTTTTTAGTGAAAAGCTCTTCAAGCAATTACTAACCTTTAGAATAAGCATTTTGACAGTTTAGTTCAGTTCAGTTCAGTTCAGTTTACTTTTTCTTTTTCACAAAACCTGGAAAACCACCAAGCAGTTCATTGGCACAGGCAAATGAAGGGGGCATAGTCATCCAGAAAAGCCAGGCAGAATAGACTGGGATACAAGGAAGGTATCCACAGAATTTGGGGGGGGGGGGGTGAGTGGGCAAAGCTGCACAGCAATGTGGGGTTGTAATTCATGTGTACAGTCACAACATGCCTCTGCATTTTCCTTGACTTTGTGCAGTGTGACTTAGTATCATATTTCATTTAGAAGCCTATGCAGAGTGGTAGAAGATGCTGGCTATTAAGCAGCACTGATGTGGAAGAATTTTATATTCAAGAAGCATCATGAACTCCAACAAAACTTTATATCAAGTGAGGGACAAAATGCCATCTAGTCCAGTGTTATGCTATGCTGTGCAGAAAATGCATGGCAGATTCAGGTACCTTCATAATACATTTGTTCCTATAATATTTATTTATTATTTATTTATTTCTATACCACCCAATAGCCAAAGACTCTTTGGGTGCCTCACAGGTTAAAAAGAACCTATAACACGAATACTCCAAATTAACTACAACAGTA